TAATACATTAGATGTTTCTAGATTTCTAGAAATTACAGTGGAAAAGAGAATGGTTTATATGGATATTCCTTAAGTAATTGAAAGTCGTTTTTCATTATTTATCTGTAGGAACAATGAATTAAACATCACGTTATTTAACATTGATAAATATTACTTCTGGGGTTTTGAAAGAATTTCTAAAATAATAAAAAATAATCGCTCAAAACTATTATTTAAATTAAAGATTTCGAGTAAGATGGATCTGAATCCCTTGGTACTTCTCCTGAATTTATCCTTCCCAAACAAACTAAACTTTCTTGCGAGCAAATTGATTTAAGTAATTAGCATTAAAAAATGAAATATATATAGAACAGACAGTAGGAAATATCTCGAATGACATCTATGGAACACACTAAAATAGGTAGACACAAAACATATAACACACTGACGATAAGAAACATTTAACAAGTTTTACTTTTTGCTCCCAGGGTTTAAGGTTCACTAAACATTATAAATAGGGAAAGGTTTTATTATCTTTTCTTGAAGAAATTACACCTTTTGCTTCTGGGCGTGGCCTAGTGGTTAGCGCGTCGGGCTGCATATTAAAGATCCAAGGTTCGAGTCGCGTTATGCCTCTAAGTACGCTCTACACTTTGAGTTGTAGAGACATGATTACCATGACAGTCATTCCGTCTATTCTGTTAAGAACAGTCTCATAGGCGGCGGGTACCACAGACTGATTGTCCTCTGGTCAGCAGCTCAAAATTAGGTATGGATGAGTCTTAGGCGTCTTTTACCTGATCATTTAGATCGTATATCACGTAAAGTGTCGTTCAGGTACTAAGCTATTGTAATCGTGCTTATCAATGCATGCATGCGAGTCACATTTCTTGAATTATCTTGGAAAATTATATAAGGAAAAGTCAATTCCTTTTAGTTGTGGCTCATTGAAGCGGGAATAATTATTAATGTTATTGAACTTACGTTTAATGTTATCTTATGCATACTATCTATAATTTCATTATGTCATAAAGTACCTAAAGAATAGAACGATGATTTGATAGGCTAATATTTTGTATTTTATAGCACATGGATACACAATATGGACTGTACGAAATTAGCCCCTGTTTTCACATGTATTTATATGTGAGGTGTTATATATAAGAATCTTATTCTGTGTTCCACTAAACTGATGGTTTGTTAACCTAAATGTTGTAAGAGGTAATTATTAATGCGAAGTACAAGAACATAGTGTTAGCTTTGCTCTGTATAAAGTTGCTTTTCAAAATGAATTTGACACAACCAGGAATATTTTTGTATCGCGAAATGAAACTGGTTCTTCCACGTCAAATGCCGAAACGTTAGATTCAGTGGTTTCAGTAACCAAGATTTTTTATTTTATTTTGGCTCGAGTTTCAACGTTCACTGGAAGACTTTGATAAAATGAGCAAAGCCCACCCTTTCTATCCGAGCAAAGTCTGATTACGTAGATATTTATGAAACATGTCCTTAGAAAGAGGTCGGATCGATTTGGTTGATAACCAATGTTTTAAGTTTCCTGGCTCATCAACGGCACAATACGTTGGCGTATGTCTGTCTGTCTGTCAAACATGCGTAGGTGGCCATAAATTTAATTTCTTTCCTTTATGACGCTACTCTTCGTTGGAACATTAAAGAAAGGGGAGGCTTATAAAAAAAAACCTGGCTTAAAGAACATCATCAACATCTTTTATAAGTCATAATAAGTTTGTTCAAGATCCTTTGCTTCGGCATATGGATAAAAGCTATATTTCGATTTTGTTTACCATCTTAAGAAAAATGAAAGGGATTTAACTCAGCTGTAAAACTTTCAGATGAAACGGTATGTTTAATTCCCTTGGTAAAATTGCATTTCTTAGACAGCGCTTCTGTGTTATCCTGGTCTCTGAATATATCAAGAGGTGAGACGGTTCAAGTAGTTTAACAATGTGCTTAGTTGAAAGGTTTATCGAACAGCATCATAAAGTTTTCAGAGGCAGTTTGAACGAAGAAAACTAATGAATGTATCCATCCAATGCTGGTAGCTTCCAACTGACGCTGTTTCACTAATCATTCACCTACCTAGATACTGGTAACATGTACTTTAAGTACTTACATTATCCTCGTATCGTTTACTAGTGTTGGTAATGTTCACAATCTGAGAAAAAATTAAAACATAAGAATTGGTTCATTGTCGTTTCTTTCCATTTCCATACAAGACATTTCCATTTCTAATTTTCAAATATAAAATGCTAAACTTACTCAGAAAACTCTAAGTTTTAAGGTTGATATTCAAGTAATTTTTACGCTTATAACCGATCATGGTTATTTATGTGATTGTTTGTTATAGAGTACTTTAAAAGACTATTATAGTTCACGCCACTTGCCTCGTCTTCACGTGGATGTCTGGGTTCATCTTCTTGTTCGTATAGCAAGCTCAGTTCACTGAATTGTTTTGTTTTTCCTTACTGACAAGAAATTCGGGCATCTGAAGTTTTCAATCTTGTTATATTTAGTGCGCATTTCCTAATTAATCTTTATGTAAAACGACATAAAAGAAAAAGAGGTTCAAAAATACCTGTATAAATTTATCACTCAATAGCTGTTATAAACGTCACACCATAACACACACCTCACCACCAATTCTACAGGCTGTTCGACACAATAAATGATATAATAAAGGTTACTATAGAAAGATCATTTACAACAGCGATATCAATGATTTATCGAAGTGTAGGTAGAGTATAGTAACATCTGTTTGTCTGTATTTTATCGTACGGAAATAATGTGGAAACGGATGGATATATACTCACGAACTTTTCCGAATGAATTATTTTCTTGACACCAGTTGAGATTTGGATAATCATAAAGGTCATAGAATTCAAATCTTCATCCTGAATAGCGCTATATGCGCATGAGAGCCAAGTGGGTTCGTGAAAGATTTATCGGGTCCAGATATAGCTGTGTCGTCCCTTATTTTAAAATACTGACTAGAAGAAAGGCAGCCAACCAGTCCAAACCACCGTAACAAGGGCTTGGTTCGTCCCTTTTAACCGAATAACGGGATTTATTGTCATTATTATAAGGCACCCAGTGCTGAAAGTGAGAAGTGTGTTAAACTGCTCCACGATTCGATCCATGGACCCTTCGATTCACATCCCAACAAGTTAATCACTTGGCCACACCTTGCCTGGTGTTATAGAAGTCATTGCCATATACAGTTAAAAACATAATGATAACAGTAGGTTCAGGAGTTGATTTTTCATTAATTACACATTAAGGATACTAAAGAGGTCATAAAGATTCAGTTTACCAACTTGTTTTAGTACCATTCAGTACCGGTAGGGTACTTATATGTCATCGTATTATGTAATGTTATGTTTTTACCTTTTATACCACTCTCAGTGTAAAAATATATATATATATTGGGTAAAATCACTGGTTTTATGTATAAAATATACTGGAATATCCAGTAGTAATTACTGGAATCAACTGAAATAGTGATGACACTATTTCAGTTGATTCCAGTAATTACTACTTTTGTTTAGTATTTGTACGTTAGTTGTATGTTTTCAGGGACCCTTTAATCACCGAAGTCCACAAGCAGTTTGGTGCATAAACAGTCCAAAAAAATGTGTTTAAAAGGAGATGCACCTCATCTGTAATTCTACAAATATTGTGTGTGTGTGTGTGTGAAATAGCAAAAGTAATTAATATATCGTTGCAGCTCTTCTCAGTTCTTTTTATCATTCTTTGTTTGAAATTTAATTTTAATTTCCACGTGATTATTATTTACTCTCACAACCTTACGTGATGTTTAGAAATGATTTGTTAAACTCAAGCAGACTTAGAAAAAGGTAAAAATTACTTAAGTTATTTCTCGTCCGCTAATCAAGCCATGTGGTATTTAAATAGAAGTTGTGCGGTCGTTACGCTTTTAAGACGAGATTTTAAGGAGTGAATATTAATATTGAGACAAAATAAATTTCAAAGAGAACCGTTCAACCGCCACAGGTGCAGGGATTCCTAATAAAAAACATCAGAACCTGTACACTTATCTTAAACATACACTATAGACTTGTCAATGGGAACAAAGTTGTGGCATATATGACTTTGTATACGACACACATCCATATGTATAATATACGTGAAAGGGGTGCTTGGGTTTGATTCATATACCCGAATCGTTTTTATAATGACACTGTGCTATAGAATTAACTTTCACTTTGTCACATTGTGAAAAGTTTAGGTATTGATTTCAACCTGTCTCAGCTTCCATCTTGTTTCGCATGTACATAAAGAAAGCAAACGCTATTACTTTTTCAGTTCGTGATTGATATATTTTTTAATTTAATAAAATACAAAAGTGTAAGATGTTTCATTACTTCAGACTCTCTAACATTTTCTCGGGTATTGAAGATGTTAAATACACTTTGATTACTCTTGAATTACCGGAATGGGACGGACGTGGCCTTGTGGGTAGCGTGCCCGAACTGTAAGTCCGAGTTTTCTTGGTCTGCTTGCCGCAAAAACTTACTCCCTCCTCATTTTGGGGCCATGTGCGCGTTGTAAAAGTGACGTTAAAATTCCACTATTCGGTCAGACATAAGTAGCCCAAGAGTTGGCGGGTGGATGCTGTTGTCTAGCTGCTTTCCCTATAGTCTATCAGTTCAAAATAAGGAACAACTATTCACACTTAGCCCTTAAATTCTCAAATCAACAGTTAAGGGAAACATAGTATGTATAATTAAGTCTTCTTCAATTAATTGATGTTTAGGGTAGAAATTGAATGGCTCTTCAACTATTGGTAATATAAGATATAACGTCTCTTCAGTTAAAGAGAATATAGGATGGAAATTGAAAGACTTCTCGATTAATGGGAATATGGAATATGAATTCATAAACTTTCAATATACCACTGATGATAGGTAACAGATTCTGAAAATTTCATATTACACATAGAAGATAGTCACTTCAATGCTTAGTGATAAAGTCTCTTTATTTCGTGCTTTCTACAGTTACTTGTTTGACATTTTCTATTTAAAATAAAGAAGACAAATGATCATTTGAGATGTTTCTGGACTCTGTAAATATACTTGAATTAAATTTTAAAATCTGAGCTTAAGCTGCTTTAACTCATTATGTCAAGAAAATAATAAAGATAACCATATCCTGGTAGACGAGCAATTACTTTTATAACATCAGATGGTGCTAATGTCTTATCCATGGGTTTCCACGTGGCGCATCTGTAATACAAACAAACCAAAACATTAAATAATTTTCAAAAAGATACTCTTCTGAAATCTTATCCATGGGTTTCGATGTGGCGCATCTGTAATACAAACAAACCAAAACATTAAATAATTTTCAAAAAGATACTCTTCTGAAATCTTATCCATGGGTTTCGATGTGGCGCATCTGTAATACAAACAAGCTAAAATATTAAATAATTTTCAAAAAGATACTCTTCTGAAGTTTTCTTTACTAAGACACTTCATTTTGATTAACAATTTCTAACCATTAGCAACTGAAGCAAAGAGAAAAGCGTCTCACAGGCGTTTTTTGATGCATGCATAATGTGTAGGGTTTAATGTTATAGGTTTTTGTTGATCTATAAAATTGCCCCCCAGTGGCACAGCGGTATGTCTGCGGACTTACAACGCTAGAATCCTGGTTTCGATACCCGTGGTGGGCAGAACACAGATAGCCCATTGTGTAGCTTTGTGCTTAATAACAAACAAACAAACTTGCACCCCCCCCCCAATATTTTGCTAAAATGTCGTCACTGTTGCATTTGATTTCTGAGATTGTCGTACTTTTATCAAATATCGGTTACTATAACATTTTTAGACCTATTCTCTACCGATAAATAGTCCAAGGAAGCAAAAAATCGAGTTTTACAATATCTTAGTACAGCGAAGTGTAACACCTCAACCCAACAATTATTACGTGCAGTAAATGAATACCGCCTTCAATGAATTCTGTATGCTGTATAGGAATGGTTATCTAGTTAATGGTTATTATAGCTTAGGATGAAATACAACTACAAATATATATTATATGTTTTAACGGACTGACTACTTAAGTCAGCAAATATTATATACATGTTATTACAGTTTATGATATATTTCAAGTTCAACACATGTAGATATTATTTAAATCAAACTCAAAATTTGTCAACATTAATTACGAGATTAAATGTTCTAGAGCTCATCATTTTTGCTTATATTTATTTATAGTTTAACATATTATTTATATGTATATATATATATATATGTATGGAACTTTAAAACACATTCCCTTCTATAATGATGACTGCTGCCTTATAAACTACCCAAGAGGAGCCAAGATGTTTCTTGAAGAGACTGTTTACAGATCAGTTTGTACAAATACCGCTAAAAGTCAGCAGAAAAGAAAAACTTTGTGTATCCTGCCTCATCCGTGAGAAAACTTTTATTAAAGCATAATCAAGATTCTTGTGCAGTTAATAGATTTTGATTGCAAAATTATCTGCTTGCCGAAGGGCAATTAAATCTGTTTTGTTTTGAAATATTCTTAAATCCATATATTTAAAAATTTGCAGGAAAATAACTTTCTACTACCGCCTGACTTCTTTGAAATTCAAATAAATATTTCGATCTTGAACAGACGGACTTCCTTCAAAGAGTAAATTGAGTGACGTGAAATACTTTCAGTGGTCAAATAGCAAATATAAGGATTTAAAAAAATCCAACGAATAATATGCTACTATTATGGATTAGACGCCAAACGTTCACGAAGCATTAGAAACCATTAGTCATAAAATATGATTTAAAAAAAAATCACGTCGTCACCCAGTGAGACAGCGGTAAATTTACGAATTTACAACGCTAAAATTCCCAGTTCGATTCCCCGCGGTGGACTCAGCAGGTAGTCCAATATATCTGGGCCCAGCATGACCAGGTGGTTAGGTCACTCGAATACCGTTACCAAACATGTTTGTCTTATTACCCGTGGGGAACGTTATAATGTGACAGTCAATCCCACTATTCATTGGTAAAAGAAGAGTAGCCCAAGAGCTGGCGGTGGGTGGTGATGACTAGCTGCTAAATTAGGGACGGCTAGCGCAGATAGCCCTCGTGTAACTTTGCGCAAAATGCAAAAGACAAACAAACCAACAAAATAAACCAATATTTCTTTGTTCTAAAAACAAACAATCAAAAATTACGTTAACTTTGGAAGTAGCTTGTGTGAGACAAAAGACAGATCTCAAATGTTATTTTTACACACCTCTTATTTGGAATTTGTTATGGACCTGTCAAGAGTAGTGAAAAAAAAAACATCTGCGCTTAACGTCATTTTTATCACAAATTTTAGACCTAATACGTTAACACTATTTTACTTCATTCATTATTACAAGTTTAAGGCCTTATGTGATTGGAGCTAAAGTCTTGATATTCAAAAAAAGTTTAAAATAAATTGGATTACGTTTTTTGAGTGAACACATTGAAACAGTCTGATAGTCTGTTTTCAATAAGAGTAACTAATAACTGGTTTATAAGTATGCACGTGCATATTTTTGAAATATGGTTAATCTACAATGATATATTATTTCCTCCGCTTCGGCTTTCAACCACTCGGCTCGCAATCTGAGGGTCGCGGGTTCGAATCCCCGTCCCACCAAACATGCTCGCCCTTTCAGCCGTGGGGGCTTTATAATGTGACGGTCAATCCTTCTATTCGTTGGTTAAAGAGTAGTCCAAGGGTTAGCGGTGGGAGGTAATGCCTTCCCTCTAGTCCATCACTGCTAAATTAGGGATGGCTAGCGCAGATAGCCCTCGTGTAGCTTTGCGCGAAATTCAAAACAAACAATCCTTTCAAGAATATATTTGTTTTAATTTGAAATTTAACTTCGTAAAGGTCATATAGTTCATGGCATTGTCATTAGATTCGCAATATACTCGCGAACCTAACTAGCTTGTACATTTTCATTAAACGTTTCCTAAGAGCACAATCGTATTTTATATACAAATGTGTTTTGATACGTTTGTCTCTACTTGATTAAAAGCCAAAAGAAAAAACTAAATTAGGTTTCAAAATTAAATACCTGAGGTTATTGTTATGAAATTCTTCGGAAATTTTCAGAATTCTCGCGCAAAACTATACAAAAGACTATATATACATAGTCCTCACTTATATTGAGCTGACAGACTATAGAGAAGGAAGCTTAGTCAATAGCACCCACCGCCAATACTTGGGAATAGTAGGACTCGATCTTACTCTTAATGTGCACCTACTGCTCTAAGTTGTGAAGCGCCATTTTGTGGTAATGGCATACGAACAACATATCACTAGTCCAATAGCTGGCTTGTTCTCGTTATGAGATCTCTATTCAAAAATTCTATTACGCATAGTGCTCAAAAATCCTCCACCCCCCACCCACCCATTTTGTTTTTTTTCTTGCTAAAGTCAGAGTGGTCTTTGAAGAATGTACAAAATGGAGTCGTTGCTTTCAATAACAGACAACCAACAAGTTCCTATTATTTTATGCTGGATGTCTTCTCGCATGGAGGAGGCTAAACTTGAGAGCATAGAAATGCATTATAGAAACATTTTACGGATTTGTTCTTTTGAATATTTTCTTTCTCAGTTCTATATATCGAGATGAGCGTGCTGCTACTGTTTTCTTCAAAAATAGCTATTTCTAGTTGTGGACTCCAATCACGTCTCTGAATAGCTCTTCTTCCGGAAACGTTTTCGTCAAGAAATTGGTTGTGTTTCCGACTTTAGTTGCAAGAGAAACTATTGATCTAATGACCATATCTGTAACAGTAACCTTATCAGTACCCGGTGCAGAATGGTATATTCTTAAACTCATAATACTTATAAAATAATTTAGGAATTATTTTTTTCCTCTTCTCATGTGATATCTTTGAAATGTGAGAGTTACCAAAATACGTCTTTTAATTAAACATTTCTAATTTGTTTGTTTGTTTTTGAATTTCGCGCAAAGCTACACGAGGGTTATCTGCGCTAGCTGTCCTTAATTTAGCAGTGTAAGACTAGAGGGAAGACAGCTAGTCATTACCACCCACCGTCAACTCTTGGGCTACTCTTTTACCAACGAATAGTGAGATTGACCGTCACATTATAACGCCCCCACGGCTAAAAGGGTCGAGCATGTTTGGTGGGACGGGGATTCGAACCCGCGACCCTCAGATTGTGAGTCGAACGCCCTAACCACCTGGCCATGCCGGGCCAACATTTCTAATAGATATACAAATAAGTAGAGAACGGTACGTTTGAACGTAACACCATAACAAACTAGGTAATTATTCTAATTCAGTTACTACATTTACTTATTTAAGTATATTTACTTTAAATACATTTATTCACTAAAAGTATTTTCAATTAAAGATTTTTTTAATAGAACACGTCAAAAATGGACAAAAATTGTAAGTTTATAAAAAAAATATTGTTTCGTTTTAAAATTTGGTGTTTTTTTAGTATAGTATCTTAAGTTAACTTTATCATTAGTTCAGATCCATTCATTACTTTTTAATTGAAAACAAATATTTTAGAGAATTATAGGACACGACTTGCAATACTGGCGATAACAAAGGAATTTGGTTCTCTTCAGAATTTAACTGCGAAATATATATCGCAAATAAAGGATCTTATTGAACGTTTGTAAGTCGGTTGTTGCTGTTTGTCATTAAGCACTAAGCTACACAAAGGGCAATCTGTGCTCTGCCCACCACGGGTATCGAAACCCGATTTCTAGCGGTATAAGTCCGCAGACATACTGCTGCGCCACTAGGGGGCTTCTAAGGCGGAAGGATACGCAAAAAAAAAATCCATTATGTATTTTAAACCAAAATTTTCAGAAAAGATACCATACCAATGGTTTATCTTCCAAAAAAAGTTCAGTATCTAAATTTGGAAATATCGCTCTGATGCATTTATAGCTCATTACCGAAAAGAATTCAAACAGTTAATTACGAGATTATTTGTTTAGTGTTGATTGTTTGACTGCTTTAATCAAGTGTAGTTTATCTGTTTTATATCTATTTTTATTACATTTAAAAATAGTCAATTCTGCTTACACTTTCCCTTCACTTTTGAATAATACTTGACATTTTTAAGGTCTTTTTTTTTCCTTGGCTTTAAAAACCTTAGGAACGCTAGATTTACTTAGTTTTAGCAAGCCAATATTTGTCAAATCAGATTCAGTAAAGTAGGAGGGTTATAACGATAAGAAATTTGC